ACATTAACGAGCAAGCAAAGAATTTCTCTGGATTGCTTTTTCACCAGTGAAATGAAGGCATGAAAACACCTCTGCTGCATCCTCCAGCCCCTGCCTTCTAGCACCCAGCTGCTCTACTTCTCCTCCTGAAATCTTCCGGCAGGGTGCTGGAAAAACTAGGTCTGCACAGGGGCTCATTTAAAAGAACAAAAACATCTTTAATGACCAAGAGCTTCGGGCAAGATGGACGGATCGGGTGTGGGATTTAGAGCAGAACTGCAAGCACAGTTTCTGGAACATGTGAAGTCATCTGGGTCCTATATTTGATCTATTCATTGCCTTTCTGCTCTTCATGGCTGATCTTTTATTTAGTAAGGAAGCTTCTGCCCTAGACAGAGCGGAGGCCGTGGTCCCTGGAAGACAGCTGGGGAGTTTCTTTCTGTTCCCCCACCCGCACCCTGCACCTCTGTGGTCACTTGCACCTGCTTAGCACCTCTCTCTGTCCACGAGCTCCACCTGTGAGTGTAAACCCAAGGCTGGGTGAGAACTGAGCGTTCTCTCTACACGCCTCATGATCGGCCCCTGGACCACAGCATCCTCCACTTCTCCACCTCCCACATGCCAAGCGGTGGCTGGCACAGAGGGGATGGTCAGTCTATTCCTCTGTGATCAACGGCTCCATTTCTACTCTGTCTCCCTTACTAGATGGAAAGGTCCACTGTGGGCAGACTGTAAGCGCCACAGGAAGAGGAAGACCTCTCTCACCAGCCTTTGGATTCCCATCATATGGTAAACTGTCAGCAACACAGAGGCAAGATCCTTGGGGAAAGGTAGAACTGAGAAAAGTATAACAGAATTAAGATAAAACAGGAGGGTAACACAGAATTACTGGCCATGCTGGCACGCACCTATAAACCCATACTCTGGGGTGCTGCAGCAGGAGAATCCCAAGTTCAAGCCCAGCCTGGGCAACTTAGCAAGACCCTGTCTCAAAATAAAAAAAAAATTAAGGGGATGGGGAAGTCACTGAAAAGGGATTGGGTTAGGATTAAGATATTCAAAAGTAATGAGAATTAATAGTCATGAACTGCCTTACTAAATAGTACGATGATCAGACTTAGACTGATTCGTAATCCTTGCTGTGGTAGTCTGTGCAAAAACGATAAGCATCAAACTTCATTGAAAATAATGGCTTTAATATTTTTATGGGAGCACATGATTGCAGGCCTTTACCTGGGTTTCCTGCTACCTGTTTACGCTGAGGCACCCCGACAGCCCACACTACTGAGGCTTCTACCCATACAGTGTGTGAAAGTTCTACATAGTCCTGCATCTCATAAAATCGCTCACACTGTCTAATGGAACTTGCACTTGTCCTCAACAAAACCCTCAGCCTGCACCTCTTGGAACACTCCTGCACCTTCTGGGCTTCATTTTTCTGCTTTGGGGTCCCCTGCTCTTCACTGCTGGTCCCGACTTCTGCTGCCTGGGGAACCCCTGGCTCTGGCTTCCAGGCCATCACACGATTCCACCGTAAGATCAGTCCTAAAACAAAACGTGCTGTCTTGAACTCACAGCCTCCTCCAGCTGCCACTCGATCTGGTTCTCCTGCCCTCTTCTGCAGAATGGACCCTAAGGAACCTCTGGTTTTGCTGTTGCCAACCCTGTCCTCTCCTTCTGTCTGGCACCTGTTCTGTCAGACATTAGTCCCGCGATCACACAACAGCAGGACTTTCAAGGTCACATGGCCTCCATTCGGCCAAATCAAGGACCGGTGCCCAGGCCTCGCCTTTCCTGGGCTCTGGGCAGCATCCCTGTCTCACTGGCTAGAATTCTATGTACCCCTCTCCCAGACTGCCCCCGTCTACATTGGCCATCTTTTCAGCACACTGTGTCGCCCGTAGCCCCCCAACTTTGAAATACTAGAATATCCGAAACTCCCTCAGATCCCCCCTTTCTAGGCTACCTCTATGCACCCCGACAGCTGGGAACAGTTATGTAATTTTTAGGACTGCATGCCAAATTAAGTTGTGGGCACCTTGTTCAAAAGATTAAAGACCGCACCCGCAGAGCAGTAAAACATATTCTCCCAATAGCAGGAGCCTGGCATGCGCAGAGCAGACGTTGCTGGGATTATCCTGCCTCGGCTCTTGGATTTGGTTCTCTGGCCTTGAACACGCCCCTGAACTCCAGGTTCATAAACGCAGCTCTGCACTGAAGGTCTCCACTGGGTTCTCTACGGGGCACCTCAGATGCAAGCTGGTCAAAACCAAACTCGCGCACGGCTTCCTGAAAACCCTGGTCCTCTGCGGGTACCCTCCCCCCATGAGTGACGCAGTCTTCCGGTTTCTCAAACCAATGACCTTAGGCCCACCCTGAGCTCCTGCTTTAAGGCCCCACATTCAAAGCAGAGCAGATGTCCTCGGTTCTACCTGGAAAACAGGACGTTCCTGTTCCTCTCTGCTCTGTGCACCTTGGCACCCCCCATTTCTGTGCCCCTCCCATTGGCCCCCTGGTGATCAGTTCGGGAAGGGACTCTCCGCATGTCGGCGCAGGTCACCTGTCGGGGCTCGTATTTCACCGGCATTGGTCAAAATCACCGAGTGAGCGTGGTTCTCTCCCATTACTCAACTACTGGAATATGAAATTTCCGATATGCTAATGACCGCCAAACAAATGCAAACATGAGCTGACCGGTGACCCCAGCTTCGAACCCCAGTGCCAGACCCCAAGCCCCCTTCATGTCAGGGATGTACCGATGCCCGCTGGCAGGAGGCCCTGCGGTGCTGCGAGATCAAGTCCTTGGCAAGGCCCTCTCCCAACGCGGCACAACTACTAGCGCAGGTGACCCGCCAGGTTTCACACGAGACCGCGGTTCCTAAACCTGTGATATAATGAAGCCAAAGCTTCTCACCAGGGCGTGCGTGCCTGCGTGTGTGTGTGTGTGGCCGCTGCGGCTGACAGCGAGCTAGCTGCTGAAAAGCACTCCAGGGACCTGCGCCCCGCAGGGCTCCGCAGAGGACACCGCAGCCGCGGCGCCGAGGGGAGGCGGACGTCCCCGCGCCAACGCACCGGGCCGCAGCGGGGGTCTCAGCCCGGGGAGCGC